GTAATAACTGGTGTAATACGTGGTAGCGTTGCCAGTCAACCACACCTTGCTGTAACCATTTCTTAGTTCCCTTCGTTTTCGTTACTGGCTAGGCACGACTATCTATTCAATATTGTATTTATTCTTCATTATTCTCCTTGACAATCCTTATTTCAGGATGCGGCTTCTGTTAGCTCNCCCCCTCCCTTCCCCCCAATGAATGGAAGGTAAGCGCTTGGAAAAAGCCCAATGACAGAGCTCATTCAGGACATCATGAAGACCCCAATGGTGGGTATCTATCTGGGTATTGGCTGATTTCCTACTTTTTGGGTGAAGGACTGTTAAGATCAAGTTTTGCGAGAATTCTTCCTTAAGTAAAGGTTGAAGTCTTTGAGCGTGTAGGAGTCAGCCCTTTCAGTGTCATTTAATTACCCGTCTTGAAACGCTCCCGCTTCTAGCTTCTACTAGAATCGTGGTGAACTTATTAATGAACATGTAGCTTATACCATGACTTGCGGTGGTAGTCGATGTACAAGTCAGTGTTTTTGCCCTCCAAAACGAGTCTGGTACCTATTAACCGATCTCAAAGGGATGAGATCTTGTTTGGCCTGGGCGGTCATCGAGCCGGGATTCTGCATGCTAGAAATACTCTCTAGTAAGGTTTTTCGTTAAGAATAACTGAAATTTGCATGACTCACATACTTAAAAACCTGCTGGATGCACCCTAACCTGAGCTTTTTTCTTTGTTAGTGTTACAAAGTCTATGTGTCGGCGGTGTCGCCGTCTACAGTCTCGTTTCTGTCGCCTCTCAAGGTTATCGTTCGTAATAACTGGTGTAATACGTGGTAGCGTTGCCAGTCAGCCACACCTTGCTGTGATCATTTCTTAGTTCCCTTCGTTTCCGTTACTGGCTAGGCACGACTATCTATTCAATATTGTATTTATTCTACCTTCATTATTCTCCCTGACAATCCTTATTTCAGGATGCGGCTTCTGTTAGCTCTTGTTGTCCCCCTGGGTGTTGTCGGACTTCCCGACATTCTTCCCCAGATTCGTACTGTACAAAGCACTGCTGTTCAAGGAAAACTCACATGTAATGGTAAACCTTATGAGAAAGCTAGACTGAAGCTCTATGAAGTCGATCCACGTACGTTTCTATCTGAATCTTCCATGAACTAATCGATTCGTTATTGTGAACTTTAATGAAACCAGTTTCTCTTAGCCCATTGTGAATGATAGGGTTAACAAAATTGATTAGAAAAATGAATGACTGAAATATCTGCTTCACTATAAAAAAAGCGTGATTTTTCAGTTTTGGATACCCTGATGGACGAAGGATTATCTGACAAAGATGGTCACTTCTTATTAAAAGGAAACGATACGGAATGGTCAAAAATCGATCCAAAACTTAACATCTACCATAACTGCGAAGATGAGAAAGTGGTAAGTTTTGGCAGGGTTCAATCCCAGCCGGCATTTCAAGAACCCCTCGAAGTCTTTGAGCCTAACAATAAGTCATCATGATGACCCATGTTCAACTAGGTCACCAGGGTGACTCTTGACCACTTTCCCACATGAGACGCTATAATTATAATCCTTACCTTATCTACTTTCTGGATTCAGGAGTGCTGGCGCAAGGTGCAAATCAAAATCCCTGACGACTTCGTAACTGATGGACCCGAACCAAAGAAGACATTCGATATTGGCGTCTTGAACTTGAATGCGAAACTTCCTGGTGAAACTCGAGACTGTCTCAATTGATCAATCTTGTCGAGCCGATGTTTTTAATAGATCTCTTATTTTTATAAAATACGTATGAAGATTTTCGGCTTAGATTTTACAACTGGTTTTACTTTGACACTCAAAAGTAAGAAGAGGGATATATGCTGTTGTTTGCCTCATCGTTTCACTTGTAATACCTTCACCCGAAACAACTTTCAGTTCAGATTCCGCACCGGTCTATCCCACAAACCACATTTTTTGTCAAAAAACAACTTTTGTCACCATGCTCTTATGGGCACAATCCGGAAGTGAAGGTGGGATGTTAACAAAAGATGTAGCCGAGATTGCGCCCAGGCCAAAACAGCTCGTAATCCAACGCTGGTAGGGCAGGATCATCGCCATTTAAAGTTTAGGGAAGTGAGCACTCGAATGGGAACGTACTAAATTACTCTACCTTATATGGCGCAACTAAAAAGGGATCAACTAATTCCCAAAAGCTATATCCTTTATAGACAACTCAAGACGTTCCACCCATTTCCACAGGATTACGCCCACAGGATTACACCCATTGCAAGCACCTGTAGCATTGGGCATGATCCTGAAGCAAGGGATGTGATGTCTTGAATTGTCCCTATAAGATAAAGCTGGCTGGACGTGCTTCGAACCAATTTTTCATTGAGTTCAGCACAATGGCGGTTTGGATGAAAGAGCTCGTGATCACTTGGTAGTTGAATGTCTTCAAACAGCCCACTTTGACATTCAGGACTGTCTAAAGGCGGTTCGCGATTACTGTTCGATCTCAGTTAAAGGAGGAGAGGCTAGGCGAAGTCCTAAAACGAGATGAATGGTGAGAATACATCACCGCTGCTGTAGGTCAACTCCTTATATGAAGCTGGTACCGTTTGTTGTTGAGCCAGGAGGTAGGGGCGACCTTCCCCGATAACCTGACGTGCCCCTACAACCTATTCTCCCCTCCTCTACTCTCTTGCTTCTTCCAAACGATCCAAAAAGAAGCTAACGGGAAAACAGAATTTTTCGTAGAAATTAGCCAAGTGGGTTCGAAAGTAGGCTACGAGGAACGTGAAAGGCCATTCACATAAGCCACTTTGGCCAATTATCAAATTCTAGATTCTGATGATATCAGTAATTTCCAGCGAAATACCTCACCAATACTGATTCCCTCTTGATTATTTTGCAGTAAGGTGAAACGTTTATTGGCCACTATGCTGGTCTGTCGGGTTCCTTACCATTGTTTGCGGGTCTGTCCTTGTACTCCCAATGTATGAACTAAAACAGTAAAACACGTACAACCACTATAATAAAGATTCGCCTGTGAAATGCGCGAATCAATGGGTTGGGATAAACGATCATTTTGGGCTAACACTCAGAGTTGAGGTTAGCTCCTGCAAGTGTCATTCGTACTGTTGACTGACTTCAACTTCCCGCTACTTCTTTGTATTCACTCCTCACTCCCCCCCCCCCGTACCCCTCTCCTCGTTTGCCTTTGATCTAATTTGAAGGCACAATCCACGATTACTCTGAGGTACCCTACTTAGGTAGAAAAGAAGAAGTGTTGATGTAGAGTAGTACATCGGTGGCAAAGAAAGCGAGAAAATCCGCCCACTTCAAGGCTTTTCAAAAGTAGTGGAAGTGGAGTTATACGAGATCACTGTGACAGTAATGGCATGTAAGGGGTGCTTGGACGAGATTTAACTTGCTCTCATTGCTCAAAGAGCTGGTTACATCGAGCCGAAATGTCCGAAACTGCCTTTCACTTTCTCCATTGATTATATCGAGTTGTTTGAACTTCCTACATGAGAGTCTCTTGAGATAATGCTGCTTCTAAAAAGCCGTTGTGAAATTCGTCCACGATGGGTGTGGCATTCACACGATACAATCTCTGGCCCATTATTGTGCCCTATCCATGACGTTGTCGACCTTATAATGGCAGGCATGGTATAAGTGGGAGCCTCGAATTCATACTAAAGGAAAAGCTCAGAAACGACTTTTATCGTGGGCTGCGCCTTGAAGATATCATACCAGCCTTCCGGGTATTTGAGGGGAATGATATCAAGCTCATCTGGCTCCGCTCAGAGCGTACAACAGGGAGTGGGTCCTGTATGGGACTGTAATATGGCAACAGACAGTACACTACGTACATACAACAAGAGCTTTATTTGTACTATACTTTCACTTCATTTGTTGAAATACAAGAAATACAATATTTTGACTTCATTCTTTATATAAAATCATCTATAACTTCGATTTTCTTTTCTGATCGAGGATGGCTTGCAGTTTTTGAAGAAGCATCACATTTCCTTTGACCTTCAGTTTACCACTCATGAATGCCTGAAAGTAGTAAGTTGCCATACCTTCCGATTCTCATAACGACCTGATGGAATAACAGGTTACCTTTTGAGCATTCAGCTTTCCACTGGCGATATCTAAGAAGTCATCGTCAGAAACAGTCACAGTCACTGTAGGCTTCTGGCCATCCTTCACGTCACCATAGTACACCGAAGGAGATGGGCTCTTGAAGTCCAATGCTGGAATCAATTTCACTGTTCTGACCTCGACGGGGCCACAGCCAACTGTCTTGATAGTAACAAGAATAGAAGCCCTAAACCCACTAAATTTGCCGATTTCCTTTTGTCCATCGGTCATAATGTAAAGAATGATCGCCTTGATGTTTTTCACTGTGGCAGGGTCACTCTTTAATACGAAAAGATAACTTCGTATTAAAAATAATCGTTAATCATTGTTTAATTGACCAGACAGACCTTTACTCCAGCATCCATTTCTTCGAAAAGTGGTGAACATTTTATATGGGATGGAAATCCATTGCTTGCATTGGATTCAGATTGTCCAGAAAGCCCACTGTCATTCTGAAAAGTGAGGTAAACTGACTGCTTTGCCAGCTTTCATAAATGGATTCGTGACACCTATCCAACGTAAAGACTGTTGAAAAAAGTTCGACTATCAACTAGGTACTTCGGAAGGTGTTGGCCGGAATTCCTTGAGAAGCCCAGAACTTTCTGGAATGTTCTGGAAGTTTCCATGGAATCGCTATAAGTATAAAGATTCTATCCACTTGCATACGTGCCACATGTCTTGCTTCCTCTTACTCGCTTTGACCCTATAATGCCAGACTGTCCCTCACCCCTCCTCCCGCCCTCATGTTCCACACGTACTCCTTTACTAGTTGAATACTCCCACTCTGTTGCTGCAGCCAACCTGCTTCACGTTCTGAGCGGCTCTAGAGTCTTCTTTCGAGCCGGAAACAGGAAGGTCTAAGGGTGGAGCCTCAATCTGGTCAATCATTACTGTAATATGTATAAAGAAATCTACGAATATGTTGTGCACACACATGAGTAGTGCCCTTTCAGAGTATTTCCATGGAGGATTCTAGAAAATCCAGGGTAAAATCTGGACTTCTGCGGAAAACTCGGTAGATACTTTCCGAATACCATGTACTTCTTCATTGAAAAGTGAAAACTAGGGAGAACGTCCGTTGCGCGTGTCCGTCGAAAGTAGGTCACCCCGCCCACTTCGCGCGCGTCGCATCTCACTGAGGTCCCGAGATGACATTACAGTACCACCAAGTGTGAGTGGAGCGAACGATTTGCATTTGTCTAGGTTATCTTCTTCTTGAACTGACTGCCGTGGACCAAACGCAAAGCGTATTCCCCAGTGACAATTGCGACGTCTGTCAAATATCGCGGGCGACGGCTGCGGCGTGACCTAGTTTCGACGGACACGCGCAACGAAGCGCACCCGAAAACTAGCAAGTGAACTGTAACTCACACCCTTCGCTTCCATTTCTGCGATGATACCCATAAGCTCAGTCATTACATCACGCATACTATCGTAATGTTTCGCATTGTTCATATCAGTTATCTGGTTCCAATTCTTTCGGACTTAAACATTGTAGGTCAGCTGGGTAAAAGCATCAAAGAGAAAAGGAGAAGTCACTCGGGAAGCAGTAAAGTGATACTAAAAGACCCACTATCTTCAGCTGTAGCGTTAGGCATCAGCTTTCCTGGAGATCTGTAGTACTGTACTGAAAAATAGAAAACATTTTATCCATTTTTCAGATAATGATTCCAAAAAACCTCGGACTTACGTGTTCCGTACCATCCAGCACCGGCCTCAAATACTTTGCCGCTTTCAGTGAAAGATTCGTGACAGAGGTTAACCACCAGGGGAGTAACGTACTCAGGTTTCAAGGCTTCGATGAGAGACTGAAAAAGAGTTTTTCATGATAGCACTGACTGGTTAGTAAGTTGAGGGCCAAGCTATCTTTCGAATGAAGCCTCACCTCGGGCAACACCGTCTGGGTCAATCGTGAGCCAGCAGTGGGTACTACTGCATTTGCGATGATGTTGTATTTGGCTCCTTCCTGAGCTAGAGAATTGGAGAATCCAATCAGAGCAGATTTAGCTGTAAGAACAAGATAGGTTTCACGACCGGGGAGGCGACCTCTAGTGGCAAAGATTGTATGAGCTTCCGCCTTACCGGCAGCATAGTTGGCTTGTCCAAAGTTTCCATAAATACCGGCGTTTGACGAGGTTACAATGATTCTCCCATAGTTTTGTTTTCTCATATGAGGCCATGCAGCCTTAGTTACAGAATATGCCCCTTTCACATGAACTTTGAAAATGAGATCTGGAAGGTTGCCTCTTTCAGAGAAGGACTGATAAGCAGAGTGATTTTGAAAAGTCTGAAGCTACAGAACCACGAACCCCAGTCGAGATCAGTCATCTTCACCAGAGAAACATCACGCAGAATACCAGCGTTGTTGATCACGATGTCTGAAAAATTGCAATGAAATGAGGATTAGGTCTACAGGATAACCATTCTCAGAAGACACTCTACAAGCGCTTAAGGACTAAATTGAATAAATTAAAGGTACGGTTCACGATGAAAATGGTTTTTGAGTTCCCCCCATCGGATGAGTTCTGGGCCCCTACTGATAACATACGTGTCGATGTCAGCTCAAGAAACGTTTTGGATAGAGCACAGTAAGGGGCCAGACATTGTATCGTGTGGATGCCACACACCCACAGCGGACGAGTTTCTTGGGCGGTGTAGGGGCTGCGCCATTCACAAGGGAAACCATATAGGGAGGTTTAACAACTTGTCAAGACTCATGGCGACAGTGGAAGACAGTTTTTTTTTTACAATCTCGGCTTGATGTAGTCAGCTCTTTGCGTGATAGCAACAGTTGAAATCTCGCCCGAATACCCCTTCCATGCCCTTCCTTCATGGTATTCTCGTACAACTTCATTTTCTCGTTTTCCATGCCACCGAAGCACTACCCTTAACCTATGCTTTTGTTTTTCGAAAAAGGGTACCTCAAAATTATCGTTAACTGTGCCTTTAAATATGGATCTACTCGTTTTTTTTGCATTTCTCAAGTTGTTTATAACGCAGTTGTACACAAAATTGAGCTTAGTAGGCATAATCTACCGTAATCTTACACTGAAAATCTTGCCCCCTCATGGCCCCTGCATGCCGTTTTGGCACATGAACCCTCAACTCACCTTGCACTCTCAGGAATCTGTCGCGTATCCAGCAATTCGACGAAGTTATGAGCAACAGGTGAATATTTGTGATGTGAAACCTCTCTTCGCTGCTTAGCAATATTTGGTGCCAGGTACATGCGCTGTGACTAACTACAAGAAATCTCGTCCAAATGTCTCTTTCGCCATCACAATCTCGTACTATCTTAGAAGCTGACTATTGGAAGCTGACTACTTCTAGGGGCATCATACTTCTCGAAATTTGCAGATAATCTAGTAGTTCCTTCAGCTCTGCAACTCAAAATTATCACGAACCATGCCTCTAGTCCACAGCTCAACCTTTGGACTATGATTCACTGATTGTGAGCATTGTTCAACTTTAATGTCTATCGAAAAACTTTACAAATCAAAATGAGGGGTTGTATTATAAAATGAAAGAGAAGCGACTTACCAACTCTACCGAAGGAGTCCACAGCTGTTTTGACGATTTTCTCGCCAAACTCAACACTGTCATAATTAGCAACCGCTTGACCACCTGCAGCTCTGATTTCAGACACCACCTGAGATTCGCAAATATCAAAAAGTTTCATCTCCGGTAAACTGAAGACTATACCTTATCAGCCATGGAAGTAGATGCTGATGTTCCGTGCGCATCACCACCGAGATCGTTCACTATAAAAGTTGTAAGGTGATCATTCGATTTAAATCCACCTGACTGAACAAATGACAAGAATTGCTGGGCCGTTGGTACTAAAATCCTATCCTGTGACAATGAAGCGCTACTTTTTAGGCTGAGCAGTGAATTGCTAAGCTGTTAACCTTAGCAGGATGCTATGTTCAGAAAGAGCGTGAGTCGCTACCAGTTATACACAGTATAAGTATGGGACTATCACTGTTCAGTAATACTAAATGGTTTAGCTGCTAATGCCTGACTTGGAAGAGGATGTAACGCTTTCCATGTACCTTCCCTGATACCTGAAGTCTTTTGGCGTTACATAATCCCGTTTGTAAGATACACCCACTCGGCTTTCATTCGGAATTGTGGTGATGACCACTACTATTCTGAATGGAAGTCGAATGAGTGAAGGGGCTCATCCTGAAACGGGATCGATTAACGTCGAGGGATTATTCCCTTATAAGTGACTTTTTGGCTTTGTGTAAAGAAGTTTCGTTTTGAAAAGGGTCAAGAGGACCCATATTGTGTAGGTCAACTAAGTGGTAACGGTTTCGAATGACGACTTTGTAATGACCATTGGATCAAGCCATTGCAGACTATCTACAAGTTCACGAAATGGATTCATCAATGTAGTAGTTGAGTTGGGAATTTTAGAAATACCAAACAGACATGCTTACCAACGACTTTACATCCTCGCTTAGCCAGCTCTAGTGCATAGGTTCTCCCAAGTCCACCTCCAGCTCCTGTTACTATTGCCACACGACCATCAAAGCGGAGTGCCATCCCTGTGTAATTGAGCACTTGTATATGAGATGGAATCACTCAAAAGAAAACAGAATTGTTTTCATACCTACGACAGTAGGCACTTGGGAAAGACGGTCTGCATACATGGGAGGGAACTAATGTAAGAATCAAGCAAAGGAAGGAGTGGATTTGCGGCATTCAAGTAAAGAAAGTCACTGGTTCCACTGAAACCTTTCGGCAAATGCTTAAAGGCACAGTTCACGATAATTTTGGGTAATCCAGATTATGATCAAAAATGGAAGACAAGATCGAAACTAGTGCGACTGAGGTGAAGAAACTGCGTCCATTGGTGTTTCCAAAGTGAAAGAAGGCTTCTAAAATCCGTTAAAAGGGGGCTGGACGAGAATGAAATGAAGAAGAGTGGGGCGTCCGGACGAGCTAAACAGTGTGTTTCGGTGTGTTTCACTGCACGCGTGTGGGTCCTGGTGCGAATAACAGACAATGGTAAGCAAAAATTCATTCACTT